ACAAAATATTTTGTCATTTAAAGAGAAATTAGAGACAAAAGTATTTCGTCATAAATATAAGAAATAGAGACGACATAATTTTGTCACGTTTAATATAAACGAAGACGAATTTTTTTTGTCAAAGAAGCTACCAATAGAGACAAAAAATGATAAATTTGTGATGAATTTTTTTGTCTCCAATACACTTTGTTGGGAACATACTTGTAAGTAATTAGCAACAAAATATTTTGTCATTAAAGGAAGAAATTAGAGACAAAAATATTTTCTCATAAATATAAGAAATAGAGACGGAATAATTTTGTCACGTTTAATATAAACGAAGACGAAAATTTTTTGTCAAAGAAGCTACCAATAGAGACAAAAATAAATTCATCATTAAAAATGATAAATTTGTGACGATTTTTTTTGTCTCCAATACACTCTGTTGGGAACATACTTGTAAATAATTAGCGACAAATTAAAGGAAGAAATTAGAGGCAAAAGTATTTTCTCATAAATATAAGAAATAGAGACGAAATAATTGTCATGTTTAATATAAACGAAGACGAAATTTTTTTGCCAAAGAAGCTACCAATAGAGACAAAAACAAATTCATCATTAAAAATGATGAAATAATGTCAAAAAAAATTCGTCACACATTGAGGGTAATAGTGACAAAATGTGACAATATTTTTTGTCATGACAAATTCATTCAGCGATGAAATAAAGAATTCATGACAAAATTAATCATCCACCTAAGCCAAATAAGAGACAAAAAAAACCTTCTTTAGGGATGGAAAATCTTGTCAGTAATTCCATAATATTTTTTTCCACATTATATACCTATTTTATCAAAATCTAAATTCTAGTTCAACAAATATAACCCTGTTCATGTTGAAACCTATTGAATATAACAATTTCATCACAACTTAACCTAACCTGTTATCAACACATTTACAAATTAACAAAATGAAAATATCCATTCATCATTACAAATAATTTCATCATAATACAATAAAATAGTGAAATATCCACAAAATATCCAAAAGTTATAACTTGTTCAATTCCACCAAACATCCAACAATAACTAGTGCAACTCCACAAAGTATGTGTATCCTTATCAAACAAAAATGAACATTCAAGCAAATTATATCATTGTTGCACGTCAAAAATGCCACCCCAATCCAATCTGCAAAAAAATAAATTAAAAGCTTTAGTAATTAATCAATTATACAAAAGATTAAAAACATTAGTAACTCATCAATTTACAGTTAGATCAATTATACAATTTATCCCTCTAACAGACTTTTTTCGAGATTATGAGAACAAAAAATTAATTTTAAGGCTAATTCATAAATGATGCATCCTATTAATGTGCCGTAAGTTCATACAACTTATATTGGTCCCTCCTAAGGTGTTTCTATTGGTTCCTGTACAATTCTGTAGTTGTGTGATAATTTAGCATTTCGACCGCCTTTTTTGAAGCTTTAAGTATAGAGAAAAAAAATATTTTTTAGACTAATTCACAATTTATACATCCCATGCACCTGTACAAATTGGATGTCATATGCATGTTTCCATTACTTCCTAATTCTTCAAACATATATTCTTTTATAAAATTTGTTATATTAAAGTTAAAATATTTTACCAAGAAGTATGTCCACTTGTGTTTATTGTTCAAGATCTTCTATTTTATTGTTCTGCATTTGTATTTGTTCCTTCTGTGTCTCTATTTGCATCTCAAGGCGCTTCACATAATCATTTGTTTCAGCATATATGGTAGTGGTCCTCCTAATAGAGGATGAAGGTCTCATGCCAAGTCCCTTCACATAGCCAGACCTTGGCTTTAGGACTTTGATTGACAGCTTTTCTGCAGTCAAAGGGGTTGATCCCGGCTGTGAGAGGTGATCAGCCTATGTCTGTATCATATTTTCCTATCAAATATAAAAAAATTAAATAATTATTAGAAAATTAAATAAGGTCATAACAAATAGTATTCTAAAATTTTGTTAATAAAAATTGCAATATATACTCACATAATTACACTGAGCTTGAGATGAGATCCACTCATGTGTTTTCTCATTATAGTGAGTTTCCTTGTACAACTCTGCTAGATCAGGTAGCATCTTCTTTTCTCGTGCCTAATTCGATAGGCCAAATATTCAATAAAGAAAGCTAAGAATCTAATATAATTCTGAAAGTGCAAGGATATGTACCAGTTTTTCTACTCTAACAGGGATTAACCTAGAACCACATCTATGTTTTGTATACATCCTTTCTCTATTTGCGATGTTGGCCTTTGATTGTTCCTATAAGAAAGAATGACCAATATAACAATGAAATGTAACATCAGTAAGACAAATATGTTGGCTTTTGATTATTCTTGTAAGGAATAATGAACCAATATGACAATGAAATGTATCACTAGTAAAACAAATTTAATGCTTGATAATAAAGAAATTGCATTGTTTTTCTCTATCATTTTCCTATATATCATTTCAACTTAAAAGATATTTCAAATTATTCACTACTTTCATTCAATTCTTTGAAAAATACATTAGAGTACTCGTTGAGATTTCATCATAAGATGGTTTTTCTGGGTGAAAAAAAAAACGAGTAATTTACACCGTTCATAAATAGGAGGCATATAAGCATGGGCAAGATAGATTGTGAAAATATCCATTTACATTTCACAAGATATGGAACAATTACTGATGCCAAACTCATAACCCTTTCTTTCTTCCACAACTCTATCAAATCTAAAGTTCTGTCTCAATACCCTGTATTAGTTACTTAGCAAGGTGCTTACCATTATCATGAAACTTCAGACCAAACACAAGAACGAACAGAAAATACAATCATAGAAATTGAAATCTTAGTTCTTTATGATGTGAAAGATGCACTTTAAGGAACCATAAATTAATCTCCTATTATGTGAGCCTTCCAATTCATGTTTAATAGTTTCCCTTTCTCATTTTCCCACTTATTTGGTTTTTATTATGTTCCACTTACATGCCTAGAAGATAAAGGGAAAAGAAGACATGGAATTAGGGGTGAGCATGGTCCGGATTGGATCGGATTGGGATAAAACCAGGACCAATCCATTATTTACGGTTCCTGAAAAATTGGAACCAATCCAATCCGTTTAAATCATGGAACCAATCCGAACCAATCCATTTAAATACGGATTGGATCGGTTTAGGACCACGGATTCACATAATTAAATAACAAAAATATATATATATATATAACACTTGAATTTCATAAAAATATAAACATAGCGCTATATTAGTTACATAATAGCAACATGTTTTTCTATAATAACGACATACTGTTCTAGAATTTAAACAACCATAAGAAAACTGGTTTCACCATAAGTATTTAGACCATTGCAAATTAAAACTTAAAACTAACAAACAAAAGTAATAAAAGAAGATATTATACGGTTTTAGGTTTGAGTTTAGATTTTACATAGAATAAGAGAAGATACTATGGGGAAGGATGTATAATAAAAATATAGACTATTTGTATACGGTCCGGATCGGTTCCAATCCGAAACCGTGGGATTCAATCCGGAACCAATCCGTGAACTACGGATTTTTAATTCTTCAATAAGGAACCGACCGCGGATTCAAAAAACCAATCCAAACCTATTGGATTGGACTAGACTGGATCGGATTACGGATTTCACAGATTCTTTGCTCAGCCCTACATGGAATTTCACAGCAAATTGATTGCGTTCTTTCTAGTTTTTTTAAAATCTCTCCATATTCTAATCAAATTCTTTCTTCGCTGATATAATAAAAAAGATGAAAATGTTACCAGAAATTCTTTAATGTTCCACTTTTTATCAATAAGATCTATCCACTTGGTAGGATCAACATTCTTCGGTGGGTGGTTTCTTGCATACTCCTCCCCTTTAGCCTCATTCAGCTCCATGAATTGTTTGTGCAACCTATAGGTATGGTTACTCAATCTCTGACAAAATTTTATGTTCATTGCCTTCTCTATATCAATAGGGTCTCCATGTAAATCAAATTGATCCTGCAAAAAATAGATAAGTCATAGATAATTCTTATAAAAAATATAATAATTACAATAAATAATTAAGATTTCTAACCTATTATAAAAATGAGTAAAATGTCCTATACTAGAGTAGACAACGAACTTACATTCAAGCGTTGAAACATCGTCTCCTTAACGGAGGCATCAACATACTTCCACCTACGAACACTTGGATCTGGTAAACAAGTTCGCACTTCTACACCAATCTTTGAGGCTAGTTTTGAGGCATAGTCCCCTACCGGTGCACAAAATTCTGGAGGGATAGGCACACTAAGCTTTCCATCTCTATTAACAAGGCCTTGAACCTCTTTGCCTCGAGTCGGGCCACGAACACGCTTAGCAACTAATATTGTGAACCCATAATATTGAAATAGTATGTGAACAAATTTAATTAAGATCTCAAATCAATGTAAATAAAGAGTGTGTCTTACCAATAGTATTACCAGCAATCACCTCAAGTTGAGGCTCCACATTGAGAGGTGGTGGCGGATGGCTAGTCACCTCAGGATGTGAAGAGGTATTCCCCTCTTCTGATGCGTGGGTCAATGCCTCATGATGAGATTGTGAATGGGCTCTCGATGGTATCTCTAACAGCTTAATAACATAATAAAATATGAATATATGTAGAAAGATATACATGTCTATGTGTGTATGAATTGAAAGTAACAAGAAAGAATATATTTCACAATGCATAAATGCATAGTACCTTATGCTCAAACGAATCATAGGTTTAAGTGTTGTTGCCATCTTCAGCCTCTGATGGTCGATAATCGTTGTCATTTTCCTCAATTGGTATTTGTTTTTCCTTTCTCAATTTCTTATGTTGAACTGCAGCCTTCAAACAAGTTGTTATATTCTTCACTCCTAGAGCATTCATTCTCTCATGATTTTTATTAATATTCTTCATTCTTTGTTTCTCATAGTTCGTTACCTTCTTAGTTGCGGTACTTGGTTTGGTCAACTATTTTTTTGTAGCGTCCATTTTGCCCAACTATAAAGCATAATTGAACATTTTTTTGGTGGATACGTATAATTGAACATTAGATGTAAAGAAAAGATAATTATATATTTCAATACATAAAGCATAAAGCAACAACAATCTCAACAAGTGGATATGTCATATATGCTCTAAATCATTGAAATATGGCTAGAGTGAGATGGATGATTTTTGTTTTTACCATTTACTTATCATAGAACAAATTGATTATAAAGCCATCAGACACATAATATGACCAATCAACGATAAACCTACATTACAGTAGCATCGATGGTTAGTGTATGCAGTCTTACCTTTCAAGGATTGAAAATATGGTTCATCATTGCAAGTATAACAAGAATAATGGCCCTTTGTTCTCCACCCATATATGTCACCAAATGCATGCCAATCATGTATAGTCCACATCAAAGTGCACGCATCTGGAAAAACTCACATCAGTTACGGCATCATAAGATAATGCACCATTTTCCCATAACTCATTCAAATCATCCACCAGAGGTCTCATGTAGACATCAATATCGATCCCTAGTTGTGATTCTCCAGGAATAAGTAATGACATCATAAGAAAGGGATCTTTTAAAAGCAACCAAGGTGGCAAGTTATAAGGAATGAATACTACAGGCCACAAACTATATGAGTTGCTCATGTTCCCAAAAGGATTGAACCCATCAACAGCCAACCCTAGCCTCACATTTCGAGGCTCCAGGGCAAACTGAGGATGTTGCGCATCAAATTCCTTCCACTCATCACTATCGGCGGGATGCCTCAATACTCCGTCATCTATACGTTTGTCCTTGTGCCATCTCATGTTCTCAGTAGTCTTCCTTGACATGTACAATCTTTTCAACCTTGGTGTCAATGGGAAGTACCGCAACACCTTATGGGGAATCTTCTTACCCCTACCGCGATTGATCTTGTATCTGGATGCCTTACATTTTGGACATTTATCTAACCTTGCATTTTCCTTCCAAAAGAGTACACAATCATTTATACAAGCATCAATTAACTCATATGACAAGCCCAAATCATGAAGTATTTTCTTAGCTTCATAAAATGACTTTGGAACCAAATTATCTTTTGGTAAAAGTTTTGTTAAAAACTCCAACAGTGTGTCAATCGACTTATTGCTCCAGTGGTTTGTTACCTTCATATTAAGCAGCTCGATGACAAACTTCAACAGAGTGTAGTTTGTGCAACCTAAGTACACCTCACGTTTGGCATCATTCAATAGTTTATCAAACGTTTGTACTTCCTCATTCTGGGGGTGCATTGTTGGGTTCTCCTCTTATTCGATCTTCTACTAAGGCATCAATACCACCTAAAACCTCATCTTCATCAATTGCCATTTAATGGTGAGCCTCATTTGATACACGTGGTTCCCCGTGCTCATGCCAAATAGTGTACGTTTGCATTATCCCATATTGAAGCAAATGGATTTACACATTTTGAAGATTTTGGGAATAATAGTTCACACAGTTCAAACATGGGCACATAATTTTACCTTCCTGGTCAACAACTGCCATTGCAAATTTAATAAATGATGTCACTCCATCAATAAATGGCTGACTCATCCTTCCATCAAGTGTCTTACCTAATGCAATCCAACTCTTGTCCATGTCTGATCACAAATGAAAGATCAAGTTTTTTTAATTTGTTTATGTCATAAAACACATCATGTGTACTATTAACATATTCCATTTAGGAATGCACAATGTGTATCATACAAAGAAAATCATATGACGTCGTCTATCTCTAATCTTTCCTTAGTTCTCCAAGTATATAACATAGATTGAGATAGAACATATTTAAGTAGTAAAGTTGCAAAGTACAATGTAGACTAATGTATTTTCAAATTGTTTGAATTTGGCCAAAACAGAACAGATTATGAACTAGACATCCCAACAGATTATGTACCAGACCACTGAGAGCAGCTGCTGCTGTCCATGGACAAAGTTCATCTAGAATTATATTCAGATTAAATAAAAATACCATATTAAATTTTCTTCTTACCTTTTTTATTCAAATACTTTTATTTTTTAAGAAATTTGTTTTTATTCCATTTAATATTTTATTGTAATTTTTAAACTAAAAAGAATTTCTAAAAAATCATATCTAAATTATTTATGCCATTATAAAAAGTAAATTTTTTTAATATCAACTTAGTGATAGTTTGGGAAATGCTAAATAAATATAGTTTTTACTTTTTACGAAAATATGCACCGAAAAGTAGAGTTGTGATGTGACCCAAAAAATACAATTAAGTATACTTTTTACTTCTTTCGAAAATAAATACTTTTTACAATTAAGCTGGACTCAAGTTACTTAGGTTGAGCTCACCTAAGTTTACAATTCTAGCAAGAAGGGTTGAAAGTTATATGATTATGACAGATTAAATAATAATAAATAAATTGTGATAAAATTGTAGGACTTAAATTGTAAATTTCAATCTTCTTTGTTTTCATAATTTGCATACAAAAATTTAGCTATTTATATTATTTTATATAAAATATATTATTAATTTTTTTACATGTCGTGCATAGCACAGGTTACCACTAATATATATTTATGTATACAAATACTCATACACGCAAGATAGAATATCCTGATATATAATTCATCAAAGACGATCAAAACAGGTGATCATCAAAGACAATCAAAACAGGCGGTCAGAAACTAGTTGGAATTAAATAATGATAAAAAAAATCTCATCACAAAATAATAATAAAGAATACCCAAGCATGAATCTTGCACAAGAAACCAGAAACCAACACCATTGCATAAAATAGCCTAGAAATTTTTCCACCATCAAAGAAAACAAGAGAGAAAGTGAGAGAAAAAGGAAGCAGCAGCAATACCTGATTTGTTCAATCAGGTGGAGATGTCAGACTCGGAACCTACAAACGGACGACATAGATTGAAAGGGAAAAGAAAAGGATTAATGAGAAAATTGAACTTTGACGAGAAACAAACAAAAAATGTATAAGAAAAAGGGGGAAAGGAAGAAAGGAAAATTGAATCTATCTACCTCCACAAAAACGGCGAGTGGAGAGAGAAAACCCTAGAACGAAAAAGAAAAAGCAGGAAAGTAGAGAGACAAAGGAAGAAGGATTTTGAGTGCGAAAAGTGTGGGTATTTTTAGAGTTTGATTGGAAAAAAGATGTGCCAAACAAGGCATGTAATAGAGTCGGTTGTTGAATTCGAAAAGTTGGGGTACTTGTTGGACATCTAAATGGTAAAAAATAAAAAACTAACTAAACTATGAAAAAAAATCAACAAAGACAAACGACAAACTGTTTAAAGACAAACTAAAATATTTGTTTTAGATATAAGGGTAAGGCTTATGAGGTTTCTCATTAGAAACCCCATTAAAGATGGTTTTGCATGATGATGTTTCGATGGTGGAAATAAAATAAGCAAAAGATAGAATATAGATTATGATGATTTGGGGGAGCTCACAGATGGGCATTGATCAAAAGGAAATTGAGTGGTTGACAGAAAGAATCTCTAAAAGAAAAAGAGATAGTCATAATAATAAATAAATAAATAAAAAGGTTAGAAAGAGGGAGAGACACGGACATGGGGAGATAAGGGTCAGCATTGTTTTAAAGTTTTAAAAAAAGGTAAAGAAGAAAGAAAAGAGCAACACGCAAGAGATATTTTTTCTGGTAAATGGCAATCACGTGGTGGTTCAAGTCGTATTTTTCGTTGAATTTTTTCATTATCAAATACAATATATATATATTTTGTTATATTAAACGAAGACTCTAGTAATGAACAAAATTCAAAAAGTTTATTATTTCTCTAAATCTAAAAATGAAGTTGATAAGGCCTTACATGCCTAAATCATAATTAAAAAAAAAAAAAAAAAGCAGCAGTGAAGCTACATGTAATTTTTTATTCCTTCTATATTTGTAATGGAACACACATCCTAGAATGTTTTAGATAAAATTACATTTTTTATTTTTTTTGGGTTTGACCTCAAAATAATAATGTGTGCTAAAAGTCTAATTAACCTATATGAAGATTAACATTTCCTCTCTATAAGGTTAATTATAATTAAGAGTTAGTAGGATGATGTATGATGCGCAACGATGTCTTATCTTGCCCAAAAAAGGGATAGAAGTAAATCGATTAAAAATATTATAAACTAAAAATTATGTTAGAAAAATTTCATTTGTAAAAATTTAGTAATTTTGCATCTTGAAAAGTAAGAAAAGTTATATTTAAATAAAAAAATTAAATAATAGTTATTTAAATTAGTTTTTAAATGTGAAAGGCCTTTGTTTGAGATTCTGCTTGGGTCTCAAAAATAATTCATTGAATTGTGTCTTTAAAGGGAGGGTGTTCTCATTGGTTAAGAGTCTTGAGATAATCACTTTGGATGGATATTAAGTAAATTATTGCACTAGATTATAAATAAATAAAAAAAGAGAAAATTGATTTTATTGAAGTCGAGGATGACATCCCGATTACATAGGCAAAAAAAAAAAAAAAGGGAGAGGGATTTTGTTTTTGATAACAGTCACATGCTGACTTCGCCTACTCGACTCTCTCGCCGAGCTCTTCATTTTTTTGTCACCTTGGGAGGCCCTTGAATGCTCCACCTCAGTGTGTATAGGACCGCTGAGAGAGTTGACTCCCTGCTGGTTGTCAAAGGCGAAGTACGAAGGTGCCCCGAATCAAGTCAAGAAGGTAGTCTTTCGTTTCAACTCCTTATTCTCCGCTTTCAGGGCACAAATCTCTGCCCGTGTATTTTGTACATGCGCTGAAGCAGAGAAAGTTGGGAATTTAACTGTTGTACTTCACTGGTCCTATTCTGCAACCGGTGAGATAATTTGGTAACCGCAGTCACTGTTTCCATGCAAGAGCTCAGTATGAAGTGGTTGGCCTCAATGTCAGATTGAGCAGCCATGATTTGCTCAACTGACATCATGGGAAAGTTAAGAAGAGTGGGAGTAGGGACACTCGGTCCAGGAAGGTTAGGAAGAGTAGAAGCAGAGGCACTCGGTCCAGGAAGGTTAGGAAGAGTAGGAGCAGAGGCACTCGGTCCAGGAGAGCTTGGATCATTGAGGTCCGGAAAGAGAGTGAAAGGACGAGATGAGACCATGTGTAATGAGAGATATAAAGAGAAAGAAAGGAGAGTCAGAGAAATAGCAGAGAATAGACTGAGGTTGGGGACAACTTTTCTCCTTTGTTCAGTCTCTCTTTTTCTCTCAATGAGGAAGAAGAAACAGAAGCAAAGTGATGAAAAAGAAGGAGATGGAAGAGAATGCTGAAGAAGAAGGAAAAATGAGTGAATAAGTAGAAGAGGGAAGATACTAATTCAGAAGAATGTAGAAGAGAAGAAGACAAGAGGGAGAGAGAGCCGATGCGAGCTTACAAATCGAGGAGGTCTACTTTTGTCGGCCAACTGACGCAAAAGCAAGGTCGCGTGTCAGACGCAGTTTTCGAAGGAAGAGAAAGAAGCGGGAAAGTTGTATACATAAATGTATCTATATTGTATATTTACGCATTATATACATTTATTCGACTATATCTGGTCACAAGAGTGACTTGGATTTAGTGGTTTGGCTCAGTAGTTGAGGGACCAAGGGACAAAGCCTAAGGTTAGGGGTTCGAAACCCCGTATCCCTGCATTCGTGTTTTATTTCCTTTTTGTGTGTTTTACTTACGCGCGATGACGTCAGCTAACGGAATATTCTGTCGTAGTAACAACATATGCTCACTGATGTCCGTAGACAGAATATTCCTTGTCAGTAACGGCATATTCTTCAAATGTGTCTGTGCATCTTTTGTTCGTATTTGTCCCTTGGTGAAAATGTTGTGGAGACACCACAGGGTTGAGGAGATGACTTGGGAATGCGAGGCTGAAGTCCGTGAGAAGTATCTGAACCTTCTTATTGATGTTTGGGAATTGTGATAGAAATGTTATTTTGATATTAGGATGTACATTGTATATGTTACGGAGTAACGGTAGTTATTTTGGCCTTGGGGTGCATTGTGCATTAAGTGATGGAGATAGTTCGTTGAAGTTGAGTTATCACCAATAAGGTATGGTGTCTTAGTATTTTGAGGAGACATTTTGTCAAAATTTGGGTTACGCTTAAGGGATTAGATCCTATTTTTGTTACTTTAGGGTATTGATGTGGATAGAAGAATCACTTGATGGTTTATACTAGTAAGGGCTTTTATAACCAATTGTGGTGCAAAAGTAATGGTTTAGTTCGTTACCGGTGTGACTCGTTGAGACTCATGTAGTAGTCGAAGAATTTTTGTTGATGCATTGGTAAGTACCTGAGATAGTTTGTGGGTGACTGTAGAATGTATTACATTACTTGAGTTAATTTCGAGGACGAAATTTCTTTAAGGAGGGTAGGTTATAATGACTCAAAAAAATAAAAATAAATAAATAAATAAAATAAATAAAAGAAGAGAATACATGCATGATGATGTTTCGATGGTGGAAATAAAATAAACAAAAGATGGAATATAGATTATGATGATTTGGGGGAGCTCACAGATGGGCATTGATCAAAAGGAAGTTGAGTGGTTGACAGAAAGAATCTCTAAAAGAAAAAGAGATAGTCATAATAATAAATAAATAAATAAAAAGGTTAGAAAGAGGGAGAGACATACACATAGGGAGATAAGGGTCAGCATTGTTTTAAAGTTTAAAAAAAAAGATAAAGAAGAAAGAAAAGAGCAACACACAACACCCACATTACACTGAACCCTTGCAAAACCACTGATCAGCCCCCCTGTTTTTACAAAACCTTGGCTATTAGAAACCTCAGTAGATAGGAAAACTGATTACACCCTCCAATTTCTAGTTACAAATGTTCCTATCTACAGCACTGCTAGTGGTAAAGTTTTCCTATTACTTCGTAGAATTTGGCATTTCTGTAAATTGTTGGTTTGTTGCTTTATTGACCTTTCTATTACATTTAATTTAGATGTTACTGGAGGAGGATTGAGTTTGACATTCAGGTGCTGGGCTACTAAAAAGATAGCAGGATCCACAAAGAATGGGCGAGACTTGAAACCAAAGAATCTTGGGGTGAAAAAGTTTGGTGGAGAGGCGAGTCAATTACTGATATCATATTTTTCCTATTCGTATAAACCTTTATCATGTCATTAAGTATATTCTCATCATTGTGTAGAGAGTGATTCCTGGGAATATCATTGTTCGCCAAAGAGGAACCCGTTTATATCCAGGAAACTATGTCGGAATGGGGAAGGATCACACCCTCTATGCTATGAAGGAAGGTTGTGTCAAGTTTGAACAGCATAAGTTGAGTGGATGAAAGTAGGTGCATGTTGAGCCCAAGGAAGGCCATCTGCTCCACCATGCCTACTCAAGTGTTGACGCAGTTCCTAAGCAAAAGACCACTGCTTAGGTTTCTACTTTTTTGTGTTATCATGTAATGTTAAATATTTGATGCTCTACTTTAGTGGCCTGAGCTTGTACAACTCATGCTGCATCTGAATTTTTGTAGGCAAATTGTGGTACTCATCTATTGGACTAAAAAAAATGGTTACCTTGGCATGTCATATTGATCAAAGAGAGATGTTTTGCATTTATCTTTTCCCCGGCAATAGTCAGAATAGGAAGGTTCTGCAGGGGTCGTAAATTGAAGTGCTTTGGATTTTTGCGTGTTTTGCATTTATCTTTTCCCCCTTTTGCTTGATATATAGTATAGACTAGCCTATCACCCGTGCTATGCACGGGATAATTATAAATATTTATATTTGTTTTAGATTTTTTTTAATGTATAAATTATGTTTTTTAAGATTAATTAAAAAAAATTAATAAATGCTGATCAGGAGATTTTAACTAAATCAATAAATGCTGAGTTTTTTTTTAAAAAAAATAAAAAATTTAGAAAATTCAGATTGGGATATTGAAGCTCCCACAGGCTTTTGGGGTTAAAAACCCCCTTTTGCTTAATATATAGTATAGATAAATACTAGCTTATCACCCGTGCTATGCACGAGATAATTATAGATATTCATATTTGTTTTAGTTTTTTTTTAATACATAAATTATGTTTTTTAAGATTTTTTATAAAAATAATTTAACAATCTCATCCCTAATCATAATGTATGGGAGAAGTTGAAAAGGGTACTGCAGTAACTATTCACAGATTGTATCTATAATTATTTGTATGAGGAGATTTTAAATACTGATCAGGGGATTTTAACCAAATCAATAAATGCAGACATGTGGAAAGGCATGTGAATTGGAAAAAGTTAATAAATGCTGATTAGGAAATTTTGACCAAATCAATAAATGCTGAGTTTTTTTTTTAAATAAAAAATTTAAAAAATTAAGATTGGGAGATTGGAGCTCTCACAAGGCCTATGAGTTAAAAATCCCATTTTGCTTAATATATAGTATAGATATATATAGATATAGATATAGATATAGATAGATAGATAGATAGATAGATATAGATATGACACATACCATTTATATGACACAAGGACCAAAGTACAGGGACAACTGCTGCAATTTGCCCTCATCTAAATTAAAGGGATTTAAAAAGTAAAAAATATATATATATATATATATATAATATTAAAAAATGTTCACTAAAAAAATTTATATTAAAAATTAATTATTGAAAACTCCATACTAAACAAGGTAATGTTTTCTATTAATTTTGAAAATTAAAAAATTATTATTAATTTTTCCTCTATTTTTTTTCTCACAAAAAAAACTAGCTACATTAATTATAATTTTCTTTTTTTTTTTTTTTTTTTTTTTTTTGGTGGAGAGGGGTTTTGGCCTGCGATTTTTCTAAAATGGGTGTTCTAGATGGAAAGGGTAGAGTTGGTTTAGACAATAAGAAAAAGTGCTTATGCAAGAGGCGCTTTCACTATAAGCAAGAATAGTCGGTTTTGCATAGGGTGCCTTTTTGGATAATAGCTTCAATACTAGCATGCATGAAGGGCTTAAGTGTGAGACATATGAGAGGGATTTTAGTGCAAAAATAGAAGAAAAGGTTTACAAAGTGTCTTCTTGCTTCACGACTTCAATACTTGTGAGAGAGGAGTAGGCTCAAGTGCGAGAGAGAAATGAGGGTTTGCAGGAAGTGTCTTCTTGGGTCACGACTTGAGTGTCCGTACACATGAAAATGATTGATAAGGGTTAGAGTGTGTCTCTTCGGATTACGGTTTTAGTGCTCCGAAACACAACCATAGCATATTAATAAAGAGAAATAATTAGTGATAAAATATTTTTGTCTCCTTAAATACAAGAACAAAGAATTTATTATTGGTGACAAAATATTTTTGTCTTCCACAACATAACCTTATGAGATGAAAAATATATTCGTCGCACAATCAATCAGAATTTATTAGTTGTACGGGAAAGAAATAAACTTTCTCGTATAATCCTGTTGATCAAGTCTGCGCTCCTCTGTACGTCGTCGCTTTATTACCTGAAAACACAAACGTGAGCTAGCCGGCGGGTGTGTGCCGGAAACCTCTCCGATGCCTAAGTCAATAACCTTGACAAATAGACAAAAGTTCTGTGTATTCAAAAAGCAAAGTTGTGCGTTACCTCTCCAAAGGTGATGTTTGTGAGCTTTTATAGGTTTCGTATAGCACAATCCTGGAAGGACTTCTACTCCTCTATGCAGAGTCCTCCTAGGATTCATACTCCTGAAAGACAATGCTTATCCTTCAACACCCCCCTCACTGCTTAAACCAAGTGAGATGGTTTTTATCATGGCCGAACTCCAACATGACCGAAGTAATCATCGCTATGCTGAGCCACAGAGTAGGCCGAACTATCCTTAGTTCGGTTCTTCCTTTCACTACACCTTATCTCGGTTCTCTCATGTACAAACCATGGTGTGTTTAGACCAAGCTACCGAGTAGCAAGGTTCTGACCGTTCTAACCACAATACGCCATGACCGGACTAACACTGAGACCGGCCTAACTCCAAGTCGCTTCCGGACCGGAGTAACATTACATTTATCTCGGGCCGGAGTAATTTTTTACCTCTCTTGGGCCGGAGTAATTTTACGGCCTTTTTACTCAGCCCTTCGTATTGTGGGCCATAATGACCATCTCCTAGCTCGGCCCAATTTTTACAAAAATTACCCTCTCAATTGCCCCTTAATTCCATCTGCGCAGCATGATAGGGATTACCTGTCTATCAGCCGAGTTGAAGTTTTTAAGCCTTTCCAGTCGAGCTAAAAACATTTCCAGCCGAGCTAAAACTCTTAAGCCTTCCAGCAGAGCCAATTTCACACCAGGCTCTGCTTGTCCGGTCAAAACGTCTCTTCAATCACAGCAACTGAATCGTTTCTCCTTCCCAGGACACGTGGCACGCTCTGATTAACTGAGGACGGCTGTCACGCCGTCTTCGTACTTCGTGAAATTTGAACAGTCCCGCCCTTTTTCCTTTACCTAAAACGAGCCTCTTCATTTTGCCATATTTTGTAACTTTTCCTTATCTGAGCCTCCATTGCTTCTTCATTTTGACACTCTTTGCAATTTTTCCCTCTCTGTGCCTCTACTCCTTCTTCAATCTTCTGAGCTCGTGTTCTTCATAACTGTTAGTCTCCCTCCAACTCTTGCCTCTTCATTAGGTAAGCACTGTACCTTTACTTTGTTTTCGTATTTTGCTTTCTGTGTTTTGTTTTCTGTGTTTTTGTAAAACGTATTTTTCCATTTTGCTTTGCTCTGTACTTTTATGGAAAAAACTTCACCATAGAACACATGAGTATATGAAATATCCTGTAGAAAATTGGTTTTTAATCCAAAATCATGATGCAACTGAACTAGGATACTGTTTAAGCTATGTAAAAGTCTAGTCAGCTTACAACCGGACTAACACTTCATGTTTACACCAGTAGCTTTGAATAAGTCAAACCACTTCTTGAAAAACCTTAGCCGAGGTAACAAACCGAACTAAATTTGCACTTAGCATACTGAGATACCTGAATTCCAACCGATCTTAGGCCTTCGGGGCTAAACCAGCTTTCTTAGTTTTTTAGACCGAACTCAAAAAGCTGCCCCTAGACGATCAACCGGTCTAACAAAATCATTTCCATAACCGATATATCGAGACGCTTGCCAAGGCCGAGCTAATAAAAACCCTGTTCAAACCGAGCTACCCATCACCTTGCAAAATACCGAGATAGAGCCTGTAACATCCCTCAAAGCCGAAGTAGGAATTTTTTACCTTGCTTTTAATTTGTAGCACAACCCAATGATCTGTGCTTAATACCTTTGTTCTTCACTTTGCAGACTTAGGTCGTCCAGGCACTTCTCTGCGCGCTCAACCGAGCTACTGAGCACAATTTTTGTACCGAACTAATTTATTTATACTTATAAAATAAATGGGGAAGTATAGATTTTTAGTAAATACTCCGGGCGGTCTAGCCGAATTCCGAAAGGATTACAATATACCCGATGACGTCCACATGATCTTAGCCGAAAAAGATGCCATACCCTTGGGGAATGAAGGCTTTGTCCCCTTCACACTCTTGTCCATAATTGAAACCGGACTACGATTTCCAGTCCAACCCTTAATTTGCGAGTTTCTTAGGCAAACCAGACTATGCCCAACCCAACTATCCACCAATTCATACCGTATAATAATGGGAATAGCCGAGCTAAATCGCCAAGCCGATCTCAACCTCGGTCTGGCCGAAATCTTCCACCAATATTCCATTGGTTCAAAAGAAGATGGGTGGGTCTACTATTTAAGAACACGCCGTCGCCGAGAGAAGATAATAAAATATACACCGGATGACGATTTAAACGATGACGATTTTTTCTAGGTGTCTGGGAACTTTGAGGATCATCAAGCCCAGATTCCTGGCCGACGTATAAACTGGAAAAAAGGAGAACCCGGTATATTTACTTCGGTTTTCTTGCGTGCTTTACTATATTTCGGTTTTTCAATCTTTCAGCCGAACTAATAGTTGTCTTCTTTCGCAGATTCTGCCCACTTCCATTCTCTATACAGCTACCCCGATCTAGCGACCATGCGCGCCGCACTACGGTATCCAGAACATAGTTGGGCCAAGCTGCTAAAGTTCGAGCCGACCTATAGATACAGCGGCTGCCGAAAAGCGAGAGTGACCGACTTTCTGCTAGAGGAGGCCCCAGAACCGGACCCAACCTTGCCAGAAATCAGACTAATTCCACTGACAGCTGAAGAAGAAATGGCCAAGAGAAACAGAGTCAGGGCCCTCTTGACTGAGACCAACAGACCCGAAGTATCGCCACCAAGCCAAACGACTGAGACCGTGGTAGCCCTTCCATCTCAGCAGCCATCTTCAT